GGAACACAAGCAGGGGGAGTGGGAGAGGGAGAAGCAGGCTTCCCGCTGAGCAGGGAGCCCGATGCGGGGCTCGATCCCAGGACCCCGGGATCACAACGCGAGCCGAAGGCAGCCACTTAACGACTGAGCCACCCAGGCGCCCCATTTTAGATTTTTCTATAACCAGTAGAAATGCCCTCAGAATGCAGTGGAGTCATCCGCAGATCGACAGCGTGAGAATGACCATAAAGTAGGGGTCAGCAAACTATGACCCATGGGCCAAGTCCAGTCTTCTGCCTATTTCTGTACAGCCCGTGAGCTAAAAATGATTTTTACATTTTTAAATGGTTGGAAAAAACCACAAGAAGAATCATGTTTCGTAAAAATGATCTGAAATTCAAATTTCAGTATTCAGAAATCAAATCATATCAAAATACAGTCATGCCTATTTGTGTACATAGTTGCCTTCTTGCTGCAATGGTCAAGTAGCAGCAGCAGAGAGTGGATGGCCCAGAAAGCTGAAAATATTTACAATCTCGCCGTTTACAGAAAAAGGTTGCCAACTATTACATTTGAGAAATAGACTGTGGTGAGGAAGAATGAGGGGGGAGGGAAGGAGGAAGAGAGGAAAGGACACTTTAAAATAAACTACTTATAGGCATATGGTTATACCTGCCATCTAAAATTCGAGTTTTCTAGCTTCTCTGAGACCACCCCAAGGCCGGTGGCAGTCACTCTTACCGTAGAAGGACTAAGGTTTAGGAAAGAGATTAGCCCAGAGCCGGAAATACAAAGAGGTAAGGAGGGATGCTAGAAATTGCAGGCATGTGCCTAAATTTGGACAGACAGGAAAATATCAACCAGGAAGTGCCTTGACGAGAAGAGGACTTAACCAGAATATTGTCAGAAAGAGTGTTGCCTTGCAGGTCCCTGGAAATTTTCAGACAAGGACTTCACTAAGTGCGAGGTGGAGGTGGGTAGCAGAGCCTGGGGGACAAGGCAGGGAAGAAGGGTCAGGGGGAAGGAAGTCTGAAATGGTGCAGAGATGTTGGACAAAAACCTACTAAAGAATGTGCATTTATCTGAAAGCAAATATCCCCGATTATATACATCCACATGGACGTTGTCAGCTAGAGCAACGCTTCTCAGACTTTTTTCTTTTTTAAAAAATATTTGACAGAGAGAGACACAGCGAGAGAGGGAACACAAGCAGGGGTAGTGGGAGAGGGAGAAGCAGGCCTCCCGCCGAGCAGGGAGCCCGACGCGGGGCCGATCCCAGGACCCTGGGATCATGACCTGAGCCGAAGGCAGACGCTTAACAACTGAGCCACCCAGGCGCCCCAAGGCTTCTCAGACTTTAATTTGCAAATGAATCAGCTGGGGATCTTATGGAAAGGCAGATTCTGAATCAGTAGTTCTGAGTTCAGAAGCTCAGGCTCCCAAGGGGTGCGCTCGCTGCCAGTCGACCCACCACAGCGACTAGTGGAGGTGTAGAGAGGCCACACTTTTATTCTCTAACATCATTAGAGCTCCTCTTAGAAATCTGCAGTAAGAGCCAGGTAATTGGGCATACTGCAAATTATTTTTGTCTTCTTTAGGCAGGCCTCCTTATCCATAACATTGCCTGACTTCAAGAATTTTACTGTGCTCTAAAAACTTAAGAGCTGATTCCAAAGAATCATCTCCTCTCAAGGAACAAAGATTTGCTGCCATTGAGAATATTCCAACTAGGGGCGCCTGGGTGGCTCAGTTGGTTAAACATCTGCCTTCGGCTCAGGTCATGATCCCAAGGTCCTGGGATCGAGCCCCCTATCGGGCTCCCTGCTCGGCGGAGAGTCTGCCTCTCCCTCTCCCTCTGCCTCTTCCGCTGCTTGTGCTCTGTCTCTGTCCCTCTCTCAAATGAATGAATAAAATCCTAAAAAAAAAAAAGAGAGAGAATATTCCAACTAATATGTAACAGCCTCAGAATATAGTCGTTCTTAAACGGTGGAATTTCAAATGCTTCGAGCAGCAGTAACATCATTAAAAAGAGTACATATTTTCACATAAACAATCATCATTTGGATTTTGAAGTTTGGGAGTGTTCACAAAACACAGATAGTCTAACTTTGTACTCACTTCCCACATAGTATGTAGTTCCCATATGGGCATGCCATATCATTTTCCTCCCCTTTGAATTTCAGGATAGGACACATGTCTAAACCCCAAGTGCCGAGAAATCTCAGAAAAGTTTTGAGAGCCACAAATTCAGCTGCAGGAGTAGGAGGTTTAGCTGCAGCAGAAAGCAGTAAACCCATCTAATTTCCTAAATCTAGAGCCACAGAGAACATGGAAAGATGGTTTGCTGGTTTTAGCAGTTTTCAACCACACAACCCTAACTCTTTTAAAGTCGAATCACTGGTTTTCCCTTGCCAAAATAAACATGGCCTCCTGCAACCTGTATGAGCCAAAGAAGGTTTCCAGGCTTGCTGCATTTCAGACTGCACCTCAAATCTCCTAAGGATAGGGGCTTGTTCCTATATAGCTTTCAAGCTAATGAAATAGTATGGGCTGTATGAGGAAAATACAAAGGGTAATAATCAAGGGTCCAAAATGCCTGCAATTTTAGAACATCCATCTCCCCTTTCCAAGATATCTCATTCTTATTGATAGGAATATGCTTTTCATCATATATACTCTCTGGGTACATCATTCTCACCAAGAGTCATTAAAATAATTTAATCACAATACCTTTCAAATGTTGGAAGGAAAACCTCTGTTTTCCTTCATATTAATTTTTAAAGCTAGAAAGGCAGAGTTAAAATTTCATCCCACCAGAGTCACTGGATTAGAAAGGCATGGAGGAATATCATTAAGGTGCCTGTTTAAAGACTGCTTTGTATTTTTTTAAGTTAAATTTCATGATTCATTCAGGCAAACATTAGCAAAACTCAAATGGAAAAAAAACTCCAGCGTGGTTTTGATCACAATGTAAAGTCTTTCCTCACAAAATAAATGAAAGTATCTGACTATGAATTCATAAACCCTCATTTTGCTAAATGTAAAATGCAATGCATAAGAAAATGTTGGCCCAGTGCAACCGAATCCTCCAGCTGCTGGAAGCTACTTTATACCCACTTGGCAATCTGGACTATACATTTGGTGCTTGCCTGTATTTATTTATTCAGCTTCCTAAAGAAAAGGCTTCTTTCCCTTTTGCATATTTAATAGAAGCTAAGGATACACCACCTACTCACACATGCAAACAGCCCTCCACCTGCGTCCTGACAAGGTTTGCCAGAATAAAGCACAAGGAAACTTAACTGCACTCGCCCTGTTCCCTGGCCTCCAGCGCCCCACTTACCTAGAAAGAGGATCATGCCCAGCACAAGGGTGCCACCAATGAACACAGCCAGGGCAATTCGAGTGCCCCTATTGGCTGTCTTTCCAGTCTCCGTGCTGCTCCCCATTTCTTCCTCCATCAGGAGGGACGTAGAGGCCACGCGAAGAGAAGGTCACTTTTTATGGTTTGGTGGCTGGTCTCAAGAGTCTGTTAGGCGTTGACATCCAAGGTTCTCTTGCTCTTCCACTAATAGCCTAAAAAATCCCGTCAGGAAATCTTCCCTCACCACCCTTTCTCAAATATTTCTTCACAAATGAAATAAAAGAAACCCAAAATATTGGTTGCCTTGGCTTTCCCCCTGACCAGACAAAACAAACAGTGGTTGCTTTATCTTGGTGCTCTCCCCCCCCCCCCCCACAGCAAAGTCCCTCTCAACCGATGATTTGGCAGGCTTTTCTCTCAGGCGTTCTGAGTGTACATGTTTTACTATGTGGCTGAACAGATGTTTTAGCTATTTAAATGTATAGTCACTTTGGGAGGAAAAAACAATTGTCTTTATCAAAACTGGATTCTCATCAAACTCCCCCAAACCATGATAAGTTAGGTGGCAGGGATTCTCTGGACCCGTTTTAAGGTCTCAATGAATCACGTAATTCTTTTGCACTAATCATTCTGCTCGCCTGAACTGTCTCCATCAAAGCTATTGTTTCTGTGTGCAAGTCCCTTTTTAAAGCCCTCTAAGAGTTCCTGGGATGTCCTGGAGCATTTTATTTTAGGAACTTTGTGTATGACGGCATGTGCCAAAAATCAGAGTCATAGTCCAGTCCAGTGCAAAGTAGCAATTAAGACAACCTACAGAGGCTGATGGTTTGGACTGGAACTTTTTTTAAGGAGAAAGAAAAAAGCACTTCCTCTCTGTGGTGCTAAGAACTGGATAAAAGACAGGTAAGCGTTCAAATTAAGCTTATTAGCAACCACAGAAGAAACGGTACGAGGGTTTTTTCCCTGCATCTTTTGATGGAAAGTGCCCCTGTGTATTTGGCCCTCCAGGCCCACCAAGGCAGCCTTTGGTTAGTACAGTTTTGTGTTTACATAAAATGCACATTTCAGCAGATTCTCCAGGATAAAATCAAAGGCAACTGGTCTCCCTGGAATGACTGAGTTAATGACTGGGTCTTTGATTTAATTTGCTAACAATTTAAATTATGAAAATCTGCTTTCTTCATGGGGAAAGGCAACTGAGAGTCCAATGCTATGGATTTTATTAGCCAATGATACAAATGTCATTGATTCACAACACAGTTAGTCCTTACCTGTTTTTGTTTTGCTGAAGCTCATAGGACAGTGGGAATGGGGGTGGAGGATTCGTCTGAAAATGAGTAGAGCACAGTTCTCAGGCAAAACTTGTGCCCGTGGCCTTGTGGGTCACACCAGAGCTCAGCAGACACTGTTGAGCCCAGCATAACACGGCCACGTGTTCATGGTCCTATCTGGCTGGTCTGGGTCAGGCCTTATATCCTTAGCGTGGGATTCTTCCAAGGTTTTAGACTTAATCCAGAACACATCCTACCTCACTTTCTGCTCATTTCACGTTGCCCCAAAGGCTGCAGAACATAAGCCTTTGTCCAAATTATGACATCAAAGCACGCTGTAGATATTATGTGCTCATTACCTCTTGATGTCATTTTGTTGTTATTCCATAACACATCTTAGCAGGCCTTTGGCTCCTAGGAAGGGATTCTCCCAAGAGTTTTTAGACTTGAATCCACAGTACTTCTTAGACTGTGAGCTCTATGAAGTCAGGAATCATGTCCATCAAGTTCAATGCTATAGCCCCAGCATCTACAGTTCATGGCCCATAACAGTGAAGGGAGAAATAAGAACAATGAAAATCAGGCAAGTCAGCTCCAGGTACTCACTCTTAAAAAGCAGCTTCAGGGGTGGCTCAGTCATTAAGCGTCTGCCTTCGGCTCGGGTCATGATCCCAGGGTCCTGGGATCGAGCCCCGCATCGGGCTCCCTGCTCAGTGGGAAGCCTGCTTCTCCCTCTCCCACTCCCCCTGCTTGTGTTCCCTCTCTCGCTGCGTCTCTCTCTGTCAAATAAATAAATAAAATCTTAAGAAAAAAAAAAGGCAGCTTCAGGACACTCAGATGCGAGTGTCTGGGGGTCTTTTAGCCTCCTAATTCCTTCACTAAAGGCTCAAACAATAATAATATATCACAAAAGGATAGCACGTTCATTTCCCATTTTAACCTCATGGTAAATGTACATGCTTGATAGCAAAGGCCTTTTTATCTCTGGTTTGCACATGAGAACACTGAGGCCCAAGGACCAGCCTCAAGCAGCACAGCAAACTCAGGAAAGGGAAAGTCGGTGCAGGGATCGCTGCCGTACACTGCGCGTCTGCAGCTTGTCAGAGCTCCCTGGGCACGAGGGAGAGGGCACCCACACAAGCGTAACACCACTTCTTCCCGCTTTCCTTTCTTCTCCGAGTCTCCCCACACCTTCCGAAGCCAAACTGACAGGCAATGGTGGCTGCGGGTTGCCTGCGAGGGAAGCCTGCACCCACCTGGGAATGGTGATTTCCCCATAGGCGAGGGCGGCTGGGACTTACCCTGAAGTACACCTAGTCCTCACTTAACCATGTGAATCTGTTCCGGAATACTCAACTGCAAAAGTGAAAAGCCAGTAAACCAAAAAAGACTTCCATTAATGGTAATAGGAAAACTCCAATGCATTCCATCCCAAACGAAGATATGCAAATGCGGAGGGAACAATGTATTAACTGAACAATGAAAACAAGTCTATAAAAGTAACAACTTTCGAGGTATTGAAAATAAATACAGTTTGTTCGTGTAATGCAAGTAATGAAGTTTTATTTTACTTACCAAAGGAGTAAAGAAGACGAGAGCAGGTGGGGATTGGGAGGAAAAAGGGTGCCGGTGAATCATTCATTAGAAGGTGCGTTCTTCATTCTGTGCCATTTTCTGCATTAAGTTTTCAACCTTTGGGGAGATGTTGATTATCTTGCACTCAAACTGCATTTAAAAATAAATTTGTAGCACAGCAGGGTCCGCCTGGCTGACTCAGTCGGTGAAGCGTGTGACTCTTGATCTCGGGGTTGTGGGTTCAAGCCCCACAATGGGTGCAGAGATTACTCAAAAATAAAATCTTAAGAGAAGAAACAAAAAAGGTTGTAGCACAGAAAAAAAAAATTAGAGCAAAATAAAGAAGTTCCAAGTATAGAAAAATAATGAGTGCTTACAAGAGACAAAAGCAAGGGTCTGTAAACTCGGGCACATGGGCCAACTTTGGGCCACCACCTATTTTTGTAAATAAATGTTATTGGAAGAAAGTCACCCCCATTCATTTACATATTGTCTATGATTGCCTTCACGCTACAAGGTCAGAGCTGAGTAGGCCCACGACGCAGATATGGCCCCTGGAGCTTATGTACTCTCTGGCCCTTCACAGAAACCCTGGACTGAAGGGTAGTAGAAGATGCTGCCTCTCATCCTCACCTACATGGCACGCTAACACAAAGCAAAATGTTCACCTGAACTTGACCGGCTTCTCAAAATCATTCTATTGAATATTCTCTGAATGTCTGCTGTTGTGTCAATGTGTCACAGTGTACGTGTCTTCGTCTGAAACTGTAATATTAAAACTATGGTATATTATTTAGTGTGTTTTGGGGTGAAGTGTCATTCTGGGATAAAAAAAGGGGGATGTCAAAAATGTTACAATTTCTCAAGAGCCATGAAAATTAGTTGACTGCAAAGTCACTGCACAGGTAAGTCCGCTTAATCATCTGATCGGCCCCCACTGAATTGTTTCCATTCAGAACCTCCAGGACTGTCTTGAGCTTTAACTGGAATCAGTCAATGGAATCCACAGAAATTTCTTGAGCATTTCTCAGGTGTCTGGTCCCGTGCAAGGCCCCGTGAGGGCAGACAAAGAAGCCGTGCCCGGGATTCCAGACCAGTAAACTGGGCCAGTCATCACAACAGGCAAAGCTCTTGGCAACTTAGTTACAGAGCACTAAAGGCCAACAAGTGTCCAGAGAAATAGAAATCCCTGAATGACAGATCTGCTGGGAAGACTTCCAGGGGGACCTGCTAGAATGGACAGCTTGAGGGGAAAAAAAGGAAAGCTTCCAGATAGGCCAAACCCCAGCTGACCTGGGACTCTCCTGGGCATTGACATCTCTCCCTGTAGGACTCCCAGGTAAGATTACTTATCCAAAGATAATAGAATCCTGCGACCTTGGCCCAACCTCAGTGGCCGGGATGACAGGCGAAGCGGAGTCTTTGTGCTGCACGAGTGCATCTGGTCATTGCTCGGAGGTGCGGGGCCTTCGGTTTCAGGCAGTAAATCCCACGTGAGCTACAATTTCAGTGAGAAAGAAGGAAATGATTCAAAACCTGAAAAATGTATTCATCCATCCCCTGGAAGGAGGAGGGAGGAGGGAGGGAGGAAAGGGAAAGAAGAGCTAAGCCGTGGCGCAGACTCAGAGCGGTGGGCTGCGGTGGGGCTCTGTTAACTTGTTGGCAGGCCTTTCAGACTAGGGAGGGTTCAAGTCCCAGGCCTCCCACTAATGAGACTCATTACTTACATTATATCTGATCTTTTTCAACATCTTTCTTAGCTGGGTGTTCTGTCTCCTTTTACAGATGAGGAAACTGAAGTTTGGAGCTATTAAGTGATTTGCCCAAGGTCACACAGCAGGTATTTGTCTTAAGGCCTGAGAGGTTTCAAATTCCAACTTCTTTTCTCTCTGCCCTTACTTGATAAATTTGCTTATCTACCTCAGGTAATTAGTGAAGGTAGGTACAGCATGTCAAAATGACACTTGAGACCCAGGGAAAGCGATAAACTATGCCTCCTCTAATTCTCTTGTTGACAAGACTAATTAATCAGGTTTCATTTCCTTCACAGGAATAGCCACCATCATTAAATATGGGGAAAAACTTTTTTGGGTTGGGCAACAAGAATGCCTCCTGATTTACTGCTGCTCGTAATTGAACATGAGGAAAGATATCTACGTTTGAAAGTCCTTCCAACCATGTACTGTGCTGTTCACTTCTGAGCCTAAAGGGGGGTTTTATTTCTTGACTTTCTCACATCCTTGGCTATATAGCTACTATTTCTTCAGTGCGCACTCACTTCGTGTGTATTATAATCAGTCCTATGGTGGAGGAATCTTCTGTTTTACAGATGGAACTCAAATCTGTCGAGGTCTTGTTTTGAAATGTACCCCGGATTTGTTTTAAACAGGCCGAGGAAGATGACAGACACAGAAAAGGGCTTTGAAAGAAGAGTTTATTACAGTTTTCAAGAGGAAGGGGCCACATGGGGAGGCACTGGGGTTGGTCAGGCAGCAGAACGGAACAAGGGGGGAAGAAAAGAAGAGCAAGGGGAAAATACACACAAAAGCCTTTTATTATGGTTTTCAAGAAAAGAAATGGGCAGGCAGGCTAAGCAGCTGAGACAGGCTTAGGGAGAGTTTGAATAATTTCAGCAGGTGCTAGTCTATAGGAGTGGTCTCTAGTTGTCCAGCACCCGGCCCTGGGGTGATGTGGGTTCTGGGTAGATAGCATCCTGGACTGCAGGAGCCTGACAAAAGGAGGCCGGTGAGGGTATGGACTCAGGATGGGTTGGGTTGCATTTCAAAGGCATGCTAC